CAATACATTTCCCTCCAAGTGTACCATGTCAAGGCTTTTGGATTCTTTTCTCTTACATTTACTATCTAAAAATGAAAGCGTTCCATGTCTCATGCCAAAGGTTTACCAGGAAATATAACAAATAACTAACAGCTACTTTTGTAGATTTATATCAGATATATGTTAATCCCTTAACCATACCTGAATACAGTATGTATCTTTAACATAAACTAAAATATGTCCCTATTTACATTCCTTTACTAAAATATGTATATAAAATATATGAATTTAAACATTCAAGTATGCAAATATACAGCCAGTTTTACCAGCTGTCAATCTCCCATATTTTTGTCAAAATGTTTTTTGTAAGAGCACCTATACTGCTTTTTGATGATAGCTCTCAATAACCTATGCCATCCTGCTAATTTCTACAGAAGTATCAATTACTATGTACTATGAACTAATATCCAATATAAACAGTACTTTAAGAAAGAGAAAAGAGAGAGAGAGAGAGAAAAGAGAGAGAGAGAGAGAGAAGAGAGAGAGGGAGAGAGAGAGAGAAAAGAGAAAGAAAGAGAGAGAAAAGAGAGAGAGAGAAAAAGAGAGAGAGAAAAAAGAGAGAGAGAGAGAGAGAGAGAGAGAGAGAGAGAGAGAGAGAGAGAGAGAGAGAGAGAGAGAGAGAGAGAGAGAGAGAGAGAGAGAGAGAGAGAGAGAGAGAGAGAGAGAGAGAGAGAGAGAGAGAGTAAAAGACAGTTATGGAATGACGACAGGATATTACGCAATATGCAAAACCAGTGTTCCTCCAGCCATTACAATAGAGACAAATATAAACAAAAACTAAAAATACTGCATCTATACTGCAATACGGAAGGTCTACAAGAAGCTACATGTTATGTGGCATGCAAGAAGCAAGTGTGTGTATACTAATATAGGTTTCTACTTGACAACTGGTTAGTTTTTTAATCCATGTTAAATTGTCTTAATTGAGGGAAAACAAAAAAGATCTCTGTTCATGGCTAATCTTTTGCATGACACACTGTGGTATTCTAGAACTATCACAATGTCTAAAAAATCTTTTTCAATGATCTGGAACCAAAAGCTTTCCTAGGTAAAAAATCATAACAGTGATTGTGAAATTATTAGTACTTATGCTTTCATCTCAATAGTAAAATCCACATTCCAAAATATCTGTGACACTGGTATGTGAAGACAATCCAAAAGCCAAATGCATTTTCATTCTTTCACAAGAGTGCAGTGCCAAGCAAAAAAAAAAAAAAAAGCATATGGAGGGAAGTGTATGATTTTTCTTTTTTTCAATTTTAATCAGACAATGGAAGTCCCATATTCCCTCTTCATACAGGGAATAGCTCTACCCACACAGAAGCAAAATTACAATAAATGTAGCTGTTTCAAATTCGTAAAAGTTTTGGGAGTGGCAAAATAACTTTCAAGATAACAAAGCTTTTTGAAACAGCCAAAACTCTCTAGCAATCAGGATACTAGGATGGTAAAAAATATAAAAAAAGAGAGAACAGCAAATTTCTTTTTCTCCTTCAAGCACAATCCCAGTCCAATCTATTTTGCAACTCATCCCCATAAAAGATACACATACAAAAAGGCAAGAAAAAAATCACCAACTTTATTTATTCATCATATTTTTATATACAAACATCAAGTCCTCAAAGATCAAGATACTTAAATTCCCTTGGAAGCAGCTGTACACTCACTTTGTATATTATATAGGCATAAACATACTCAGGGAGAGCCTTTTCTTTCACACAACTTGATGATATCTAGATCAAGGCTTTTTAAAAAGATTTAAAAGCGGTTTCTTACAATGATTTTCCACGGTGAAGTATACTGCACTGCTTCCCTTTATAATATAGTATATGAGGCTGTTGTTCTTGGCATAATCTTTGGGACCATACTTACTACAACACCAGCAGCATGGGCAACATTCAGCCACACTTTGTCTTGTCCCTCCATAGAAGGGGTAATAAGCCGAAGCCTGTGACCAGAACAGAGGGTGAGCATTGCAGAGGTTTACTGTGGCATATCGCTTTCCCTTCAAGGAGAGAGAGAATGGGAGGGGGAGGGAACGGCTCAATGCCTGAGTTCTGTTACTGAGCTTTGCCTCTGTTCTGTTGTCACACATTTTTCCTTGGCATTAACAATTGCGATTCTGTATTTAAGTTTCTATTGTACAGTTTGATAAAATGCTACATCTTACATAAAATAAATGTCATCACAAAACTCAAAAGTTAAGAGCAAAATATAGCAAAACTTAAGTACAGTTTTGTTTCTTAATACTCGGATTATTTATTTTCAAACCATGATTTACTTACAATACTATTCAGATGTCAAGAAAATACCAAAAAATATGAATGGGGGAACTAGAAGCTGCTTAAAGATTCAGCATGAATTCTGATGAAACTTTTAGCATCAAAAAGAGTAATCTGTAAATATTTGATTCACAAGAATGACTAACTTGCAAAACTAAAAAAATAAAAATAGTCTTTGTAATTCTTTAAAAGTCCTGTAGAATGCTTGATGCAGTGGCAGACAATCTTGAGATAAGAAATGGTCTATGGTTAATTTAATATTTATAATTCATGGGCTCTTATCTAAAACAATGATGATGAGCCCCAGTGATATAACAAAGACTCTTACTACATTCATTTATAGATTAACCTTTCTATAAGTCAATTTTCACATTATTGTCACCGATACAATCACGGTCAGATCTAAGGGAGGGTTCCCTCTTTCAATATATGGCACAAGATATGAATTTGATTATGAACATCTGAACAAAATCCTCCTAAGAGTAACAACAGGTTTTTCTGACCTCCAAGGAGAGCAGAATATTTTACACAGGCATTTGCTTGACAAATTGGAAAAAAAATTGATGCCTAAACACGGCAGTACGAGGGGCCTTTCCTCCCCTTTTTTATCATGGGTTAATAACATTTTTCTTCTATACTTTCCCTTGCACACAAATATTGTGAAAAAGAAGTCATAATAGCTTTAGTCATACGAAGGCTTATTCCAATTTATATTCATATACTTCAGATGTTTTTTGCATTTTTTTTTGTTTTTGTTTTTTTGGTTTTCTTTCTCTTTTTAGATATCAAAATTATGAGCGTTACCCAAGAGATTTAAAAGAGTACCTTGAAGTGAATTGTGAAGTGTCCAGGTCACCCCCAAACTATCTGTAAAAGTTATCAATAAGGATTAGACTACGCTAAATTACTAGTGGAATTTTCAAAAGGTGAGAGGAGAGATCCAGTGTGGAATCATGGCAATATCTGCACCAGCCATGAAGACTTTGTATTAAAAAATCATTTTTTTAAACTTTTTTTTTTTTTTTTTTGAAGTATATATCTCTTCCATCATGAACACTTCATAAGCTAACCATTTCACTAACTTATCACCAGGGTTTTTTAACAAATGTTCTACAAACACTTTTCCTCCAGATAAAATCCTCTATTGTATCACCTCCACCAATATCTTCCATCACCTTCAACACCTTGTAAATCAATTCCTCCACCATTAATCCACATGCAGGCCTAGGAAATCTTCCACCCCATCATCAGATACTTACACATTCTTTGTCTGCTCCTTCTGATACGCAATGGGGGACTGAATAGCCTTGAGGAAGTCCTTCTGCGTCTGGAGGAGGTGTCGGATCTGTGAGACCCATTGGTTTCTGTTATCTTCGGTGGCTCCCTGGCACACAAACGCCAAATGGGGTTTTCTCGGGTCAGTAGATTGCAACGTGAACTTGAGGGGGTCACCGTCGTCAGCCTTCTCCACTAAACTCATTTTGTTGACCTATAATGGAATATTGGTTACCTGCTTTCCTCAGTTTTATATCACCATACTTATTTTTCATTACCCACGTCTTAATGTAATGTACATAATCATACAAGGATCCTCAGCTAAAAGGTATAAATAAAAATGAATAATTACATAGGACTAATGTGTAATGGATGGACTTTTCACTTGTTACATTTCCAGCTTATGTGTCAATTGAAATATCAATCATATATACACATGCATTTATCTTGCTAATTTGTTGAAGTTATTCCTGATAAAATGAATTTGGTTGATCATTCTCACCTTATATGAAAACCCTCTTAAGGCTTAGCATAGTGACTCTCACAAAAGATTGTTTACCTCACCAATACCATACCTGTAAATGACTCTTGTATGCATATACTGGATTCGAGAATTGGTTCTTCTTGCGTCCACTTTCTGAGAATATAATGGACTGCTCAAACAAAAACACCATGAGTTCTTTTCCTCGGAAATTGTGAGCAGAGGGGCCCTCACAACACATCAGGGGTCCATATAACAGGAGTTTGCCTTGTGCCATGATCTTTCCCTGTCATGTGTTAGAAAATAAATTAAAAGCAATATAGTGGTGTAAAATAAATAGGTACCTATGGCAATCATCACTAGTTCATATGTTCAAGGCTGACATTCACTTAGACACCCACACATTTTAACTATTTTACATGAAAATTCTTATCAATGTAATTTTAATTCAAGTACCTATAAACTATGCAATCAGACACAAACAATCAAACACACTATAAATAGTACTACTTTTCATTAGCAAAAGACTCCAAGCCATGTAATATATAAAAGGAAATGCTACTCTCCGTCTCCAACTGGCAGACTCACATCAAAGCCCTGTAATCTCCCTACATTCATCATGTCATTGGCTGCTTTTGGCACAACAATCATGATGTTCAGAGCCTTCTTGATGGCCTCTGCTTCCTGGTGGAGACCTGCTCTCTCTGTATGCTTGTGTATGTCCCTCAAGAGGAGCTGGTACTTCATTAACCGCTGGACTGGCTTGATCAGGAGGTCGGGGAGTTGCAGCTTATGCCCTAACTTTTGTCTCAGTTCCTGGAAAAGTTTGGAGTATGCAAGAATAAATTTTCCCATTCGAAAAGTTGCTTAGAAAAGTATTATTAGTACAATGTTGGAAAATTGTTAACAAAACAAAAACAAAAAAACTTTTCTGATAGATTCCAGAGGTTTAAGTTCACATTATATCCTTACTTCAAAGTAACTTGAATGTTCTGAGACAATATATTCTGAAGTTGGTTTATTTTGGCAGTATTTAACATATATCTGAAGTCTCTTTTCACTTCGTTGAAACGCGGGCCCAATTTCTTCTGGGTGTTCTATGCAGCGTTCAATATTCTTCATGAAGAAACTGTAATGAGGAAAATATATTTAAAAATTAGTGCAATGAAAGCAAAAATCTACATTACCTGCATAAGAAAAAGAATGGAAGGATTGGATAAAAACACTATAATCCCCATTAGACAATGACTCCACCTCAATATCATCAAAAGAGAGGAAAAAGCACATGACAGAAAAAAAAGAGTAACTCACTCTCTATGCCATTCATAAATAGCCTCAAGGTTCCCAAACACCATCTTGTCCTTTCCATCCTTGAGGTCATCTGGCATTTTCATTTCCGAGTCAGGATTGCGCATTTCTGTGATATAACCTTCTACTACATCTGCCAAGTCTCTAACATAAAGACGTTCCGTTTCAACAAGCTCAGCTATCACAAACTGTCGCTTACGGAGTTCTCGTTGTTCCTTGGTCATATCACTATCTCCTGAAATATTTGGGACGGGTTCATGTTGAGCAATGAAAATGCATATGAATTATGGTTCTTCCTATGCATGTTTTTGCTTGCTGTTAATCTATAATTATCATTGGTCTCATTACAGCCTCATCATATCTATGAACTGAATTCTAGTTAAAATGTCTACAGTCATAAGGATAAGACCTACATCTGTTATCAGTCATAAATAAAGGAAAAAAAGATAAAAAGAAAAGGAGAGAGAGAGAAAGAAAAAAAAAAGAATATATATCTGTATATACTCAAATTTCATGGGAAAGAAAAAAGTAAAGACCAAATCCATTTGTTCATTTACTTTACCTGGACTAGAATCTTGTACATTAAAGGAATCAGGTAATGCCGAGGCCCCAAGGTCTCCATCGTCTGACAGTGGTAGTTCAGGGTTCAAAATGCCAGCGGCTGTTGGCAGGGGTGATGAAGCCTCATCTCCTGAACAGCCATCACCCGACGTCCGCCATTCTTTCAATCTTTCACTCGTTTCTGAATGTTGCTCCTGTTGGAAGAAGTGGTGGTTTACTATACACTCTATGCCATCCTATTTATCTATTTTCTTAAATGTCTTCAATCTGACATCCTCATGCCTTTGTTATTTCATTTCAGTTATTAAAACCTGTATCCAATTTCTTTAATCAAGCTTTCATCATCAATCCTTAGCAAAGTCATCAACACATTATCATTTTTTGTCTTTTGCAATCAACACCATTGTTATCTGTTAATAATAAAGGTGTAATCAACCCGGTCCTTTAAGGAAAGCATTTAGTATAGAATAACAGCTGTATCAAGAGATGAATATTACAAATGTGGCTACTAAGTGACCTATGCATTAAAAAAAAAGAAATGTAGGGTGGTGTATGGGAGAAATAAAAAGTTCTGACAAAAAAAGCCATAATAATTTTTTTTCAATGATAAATAAATAAATGAAATGAAAATAATAATAACATAAAGGTACTCTTCTACCACAGCTTACTTGCCTTCATATAATGTTTATCATATGTTGAATGCCAAGAAGAAATCTTACGTTCTCTGTCAAACTTTCCGTTATGTTTACGTGTCTGTATCTTTCCTTTCTCAAGAGCTTTTGTGCCAGATAAATCTCTCAGTGCTATATCTGAGAAACGCCTCCGGCACCATCGCACAGTTTTATGAACCCCTCTCTCTAGGGTTTGGGACAAAGCCCTCATCAGTTTGGGAGGGGCCAGACTGCCCTCTTGTGTATCCCCAGAATGGTCTGTCCCGGCCTCCATCATGCATTTTTAGAGAATTTTCTGATCAACTGGAATTTCAAATCTATGTCTGAAGTTCTCAAAATACATTCAGAACTTAAAAACAGTATGTTTACTGTGTACATGTGTATATGTAAAAACATACATGAGTGCATGTGCATGAACAAAAACACACATGGTACACATACACACATGAATACACAGTTTGTTTATTAATCACATTTCATGTTCATCTATATAAACAGCAAATCTATGAAATCCATACTAATTAGTGAGACAAATATCATGGATTATGTAGTGTTAGCAATATATGGTAATAAAAAACTTCTTTTTCTTTCTAGACTCAGTTACAAAAATAGATATCAATATCTAATATGAATTAACAAAACACCTTTACTAGAAATGCCCAATTGATCTATCAATAAAGCTGTAGGCTGAATTTTAACAAATAGTTTTTCATTTATACATCTTAATAATACAAGATTACCGGTTTAGATAATTTTTTTCCTTCTTTTTCTAGAAGGTTTCTTTTTTAATGGCAATGAATAATACAGCTTATTATACATTTCTGCACAAACCATGCGCGCATATTCACAACTGCATTTACATACCTACTACATATGCATGTAC